GGATGTTAAACAATGAATGTAGGGAAACTAGATAGATAATGGACCTGATTTTATGTTCCTGGGTAGACACTACAAATACCTTTACCCAACCCTCGATGAACTACACTATGGACTAAGCAACACGATGATCTTGGACACTGGCCTTGCAGGCAGCATGGCATACCACAGGGGCTACACCAGGACTTACATAGAGGGCCAGCTGAATGAACTGAGCCCTGCCTCAATGTTGCCTGCTGAAGGAGCCATGTAAGGAGGACCGTGTCTCATGTCATGTGTCTCGGACAGTGCGCAAACGTCTTAGCTGGTTCTCATAAAGTGCTTCATTTCCCTGGCAGCTTGCACACAAGCGCAGGGTGTCCTTGAACTGCAGACAGTAAGGAATCTGAGGAACAGCTGCAGTGTTCCCTGGGAGCAGTATGGGCTTAGATACGGAACTCTGTCAAGCTATGAGAAATTCAAGCGTGGGGATTACCTGGGAAAACTCATCTGGGAACACTGCCAGAACTTAGTAGATAAAAATAAAGTGCTGTGGCCCATCGAGGCTGCAGTTTTGTACCGTCTGTGTGTCTATTTTGTGCTGCAGTCCTGTATTGTCTCTGTGTCTGTTTTGTTCTTTGTTCATTTTCCCTACTTGGAAACCGCGGCACCTGCACCCTTAGACTGAGGAATAGGGTACTCAGATGGAAGAGGAAGCATAGTGGGCATCCCAGGCTGTGGAAGTGCGGTCATTGGACCTTGAGGGGAATCCTCAGCTTGGTGGGTGCCCATTGGAAAAGGACCCCAAACTACCACACATTTCATATCTCAATGGCCCCCTCACAGTAACATGGCAGGTTTTGATGTGCTAGGCGGGGACCTGTACTTGAAAGAATTGATCCAGGAAGTTTCCCCCTGGCACCAAATCCCATCCTTAGGATAAAGAGCTCAATCAAATGGGAGATCGACCTGTGCTGGGCAACAACTCATGGGCTGCAGCTCAAGGTGGAACCACACTTGCACAGACTTGTCATACAGATAGTGCTCGGAGTGATGTCACTGGAAAAAATTGATGTTATGTGCAAGCCTTATAGTCCAGGGGGATAATTTACAATGGTTCACTTTTTTGTTTCTATGGGTTTTTGTTTTCCTGCCTTTAGTTTGCTTGCTGACTGGTTTGTTGCTGTTGTATTGGTCTTACAGGGTCTTCATTTTGTCATATGACCACCAAAGTAACCTGAGTTCTGCATATCCCATGTGCATTCACGGATTCTAGGCTCCCACTTAACTCTAGCCCCAGTGCAGGAACAGTTAGTGCTGATAACATGGACCTGCTACCAACTAGAATAGTGTCTGGGTCTGAAAGGCTTGTATTCAAACAAGAAACCATCAAAGTGACGAGTCAACAAAGTCCACATGGAAGAAACGTATCAGCTGGTATGATCCAAAGATGACAATAATAAAATTCAGATACGACAAAGGGAAAAGTATCAGAGCTTACACATTGCAAACACCCACATTTGTAGGCGATGGAAGACAGTGGGAGCCCAAGACCCATCTGCAGAGTATTTAATCCGATTAAGCCTATGGCTGATGCCCTCGTCAAGGGTCTTGGAACATCTTTACCATCACTGTAATCTTGATTATGCTGGGTTGAACTTGGTACCTGGTCAGTTGGCCTCCTTCTTGACTCAACCTGACATTGTTCTAGGAGCAAATATTTGCTTGTTCTTTCAAAATTTCTTCCCTGGCTTTCAAATACTGATGGTGCTCTTTTCTTTCTTATGATTTGTATTTTATCTTTACATTATTTTATCCTTACCACTTTTAAATTTGTTTGCTAGGTTTTCCAGTTTGTAAAGCACAGGAATGCATAGAGATAATAACTGATGCAAGGATTTATAGGGAATAGAGTGGGAGGTTAAAAGATAGGGAAAATGAGGGGATTCCGAGAGCTAGCAATGTATGTGCGAGGAGGGAGGAATCACTAGGACTGACTGTGATTACACAACTCATTTTAAAAGTGATCTAACCATGGGGTGGGGGAGAAAATGTTCTAAAACTGATTGTGGTAATGATTGTACAATTCTTGATATGATTGAATTATATGCTATATGGACAAAGTGCAAATAAAACTGTAATAAAAGAAAAAAGCAGCAAGGATGGCGAGACTGTCTTCATTTACTTTGGACAGGTTATTAAGACACACCAGTCCCTGGAGAAGGGCACGTGTTGGCTAGAGGATCGCTGAAAACCAGGAAGACCCTCGAGATGGATCAGCATGGTTGCTGCCACAGGGGCTGACATCACAAGTGTGAGGCTGGCACAGGAGCAGTCAGCTTGGTTCTGTTCAACGTAGCTAGGGTTGCTGTGAGTGCAATGCCAAATCTAAACTTATGTATTTATGATGCAGCCTGATTTCACAGGTAACAAAATACTTCAAAATCCACCCTAGAATATGTGAAAATGAAAATTCAAGTAAACAGATTGGGATAAAAAACCCTTTCACTATACCAAAATGCATAAATTGCCATCTAAGACATTGCTATTAATTTCTTATAAATGACCCATATTATAAACTTGTCCAAAATACATGACATACCTATATAAAACTAGATCTGTTTCAATAGATTGTTTCTGTACGAAAATATTTCAAAACTTTTTCCCTCTTAAAAGTTTACCTTTATTGTGGATCCATCAGGATTTTCAAATTAGTTGAAGGCCAATAGCAAACATACTTTTTAAGTTTAATTGGAGTGTTTATAGAATATTATGAGGTATAGTTTAAGAAAGACATTCTTCATTATGCTAAGTTTTCATCTAGATTAGGTTTTTTTAAAAATTTGAATGTTCTAAAACAAGTGTTCTATCATTTTCATATTATAAAGGATCACACAAATGGCTCCCTTTATACATTTCAAAATGCAAACCCATCTTTGTAAAACACAACATAATAAATGATTAAAACATGAATTTTGATTTTGTTATTTATTCTGCAGTCATATGCTTTTGGGGGGCCAAGAAACACCTATTACAGACTAGTCTTTTTCTATGAACTCCATTACTTCCTGTGGTAGGTACATAAAAAATGCACAATCAGGTCACAGCCTGATGGTGCCTCCTTGCGGGCATGGCCTTCTCTTAAGGCCCTGAAAAACTGCCCTCTCTGCCTTCACCTTCCTGCTGGCTGATCCTGGTTGCTGAGACCTGAGATATGGCCACCACTATTGGATCCAATGACTTTGCACCTACCAACCCGTGATATTCCTGCATTCTGCGTCATTGCTCATGGCCGCCTGAGTCTGAGAGGGACTCATGGACTAGTATGAGACTTACTGGCTTGAGGTGGACTGGGTTGGGATGTTTTCCTGATACACGATTACTTCTTGATCTCAAGCTTCCTTACTCATGAGTGTCTCTGAATTTGTTTCTCTAGTCAATCCAGCCTAACACACTAACTTTATAACCAATGACAATCAGTTCAAATAGTTTTTGTCTTCACTAGTTTATGACCTTTCCTATCCACAATGATTTAGACAGATTTCACACAAACATTTTACATGATAAAATTCAAATATAGAACTTTTTGTTATACCGTATTTAGCTTAACAAGCTATCGATTGTTTTTAGAACAATTTATAGTTAAAACAATTTTGCTTTTAAAATTCTTTATAGCTGTGTTCACTTGAAACCATACACCTCTTTACCTGTGTCCTATTGCGGCCTATAAGCTCAATCAGGAGAGGAGTCAAGAGTGTATCTAGTCTGTCCTGTATTGCCCCTTCAAATCTACTTTGCTGCATCAGTGGGCTCCTTTGCCTTCTGGCTTCTTCTTGGTGCAATCAATAGGAATATAAGATCAGAGGGTGGAAAAGAATGAGATCCAGGAATTTGCTTTCATAGTATTTTAAGGTTAGCTGTCAGACTCTACTAGCCACTCTGAGGGAGAAAGATGCAGCAGTCTACTTCTGTGAAGATTTGCAGACTTGGAAAACTTTGTCCTATAGGGCCACTGAGTTGGAACTGGCTCCATGAAAGTGAGTTTGATTTTTCAATTTCCTATTAGTCACATAAAGTTGTCTTAATCATCATGGTGTTCAAACAATGAGTTCTCTTTTTAAATTTTAGAGTTTTTAATAAAACAAAGCTAGTTATAATAAAATGACTAATCATACCTACCCATTTTTAAAGGCAATAATCATCTGAAAAACATTTTCCCATTAAAATAACAAAACAAAAAAGGCCATAATACATAAATGAAAATACAGATTTAGTTCCCCCACATCCTATATACATGAGCCTTTTTTCTTAGTGCTGGAACAAACTGTAGTGCATTCGACAGGAAACTGCATGCATTTAAGGTATATTTTTAAGTTAAAGCAACATTAAAAAAATTTATTAAGGGTTAGAATTAATCCAATTTTGCTGTAAACTCAGTTGTCGTTTTGTTCTTAAAGGACTCCTTTAAGTCTCTGATACGGAACCAGACAAGTATATCATACTAACTAATTAGTTTTGATACTAGCATCTGCTAAATGATGAATATTAGCTATAGTTTCAACTCAAAAGAACCTAAAACTACATTTTTATAAGTAATCTGTGAAAAATAAAACTCATTAGCAATAAAAACAAATCCATTGACTCCTGACTTAGAAAGTAGCCATCAAGCACCTAAATCTCCTTGCAATAAAACTTTACGAATAGGAGGATCAATTTTAGACCCCATGCTGTACAACTTGGATTTCTGAAACGAGGTAAACTAACCACAAAGTGTACTGCTTCAATACAAATAGGCCCTACTGAATAGGAGTCAGATGGAGGAATACAATGCAGCTCCAAGGCATGCAAAATTAAAAAAGCATAAATTCTAGACACACTGACCATAAATTTTTTGTTCAAAAGATTAATATAAGGTCATCTGAAAGTAGAATTATCTGAATTATTCCTATCACTTAGCTCTTACCATGTTAATATATGGACATACATGAAATGATCATCTTTGATATAGACAACAGACCACGAACTGTCTTGGAACATTTACGTTTATTAAAAACTAACACAAACAAACAAAACCTGTACAAAAAATATCCCACATCACTTATCACTTTGAAATAATCTCCAGAGACATTATCGCCTAGGACCCCCTCTTCCTCTACCACGACCACGTCCTCTTCCTCTACCTCGACCTCTTCCTCTTCCTGCAACTGAGGGGAGAAAAAGCAAGTTAAACTCTCTTCTGCACAAATGCTATCTGGCACTAAAAATATCTATACACACTTTTTCTTCTCCTTGTAGCTCTTAATTGCAGTTGTAACTGAGATTTTTGTTTGTTTTATGCATGAGTGGAACGTGTTGTAAATAACATGCTTCATATTGTGGGTAGACCAAAAAAGTCTCAGTCATTATACTAAGTGGGCAGCCACAAAACAAGCAGCCCTTCTCAATGCTGGTGCTAGACAAATAGCCCCCATACAAAGAACTGGGATTTTTCAGTGGAATATCAGTTTCAAAACAATTATCCAGATATTGAAAACGTACGTCTTCTTAGTAGAGGCAAAATCCAACTTACTTCTAGATCATCCCACAGTGAGACCCAGCCATTGAAGAATCTAGTCTCTCATCCCCACCCCCCAAATCCCTTATTAGGTTTCACGTTAATTATGAATGGTCAAAGCTCAACGTAACCCTCTAATGTAAAAGACCACATAGAGGTCAAGTAAAGAAAACCAATGAAAATGAAGCCAAGCAAACAATAGGCTTAAAAAAACAAAACTATAGTTAATATTGTCAGTGATAAAAAATATTAAAACAGTAAAAGTATTCTATTAGAAATGACAGACAACCAGGAATATTATAAATTAAGTCTGTGCTAGATTGGAACACAGGAGCCCTGGTGGTGTAGTGCGCTGCACACTGGGCTGCTAAATGGCTCAGCAGTTTGAAACCACCAGCCATTCCATGGGAGGATGATTCTACTCCTATAAGAGATTTACAGCCTCAGAAATCCATGACGATATAAAATCAAGAATGTATCTCAAGACAAGCCAGTCAGGGTGCAGTACAGCAATGATAAAACATACAACTTTCTTCTAGTTCTTAAATGCTTCCCCCAACCCACTATCATGATCCCAATTCTACCTTACAAATCAGGCTAGAGGCTGTACACTGGTACAATAGGAACCAGAAACATAGGGAATCCAGGACAGATGATCCCTTCAGGACCAGTGGTGAGAGTGGTGATACCGGGAGGGTGGAGTAGAAAGGGGTAGATCACAAGGATCTACATATAACATCCTCCCAGGTTGATTAGACAACAGAAAAGTGGGTGAAGGGAGCTATCAATCAGTGACATGAAAAAATAATTTATAAATTATCAAGAGTTTATGAGGGAAGGTAAAAAACGAGGAGCTGATATCAAGGGCTCAAGTAGAAAGAAAATGCTTGGAAATTATGATAGCAATATATATACATATTTGTTTGACACAATGGATGAGTTTTGATAAGAGCTATATGAGCCCCAATAAAATGATCAAAAAAAACAAAAAAAAGAAAAGAAAACAAAAAAAGCCAGAATATCCTGAAAGGTTCTATTAAGTACCTAGAAATATGGACTGGGGGGTAGGGAGAGAATACCAAATCATTAAAAAATTTCAGAATACCAGGTATAGAGTCAATTTCCAAGTCTTCCAATGTAATGGGATAGTGGGAAGGGGAGGGAACAGGTAATGCATAACAATATAAGCACAGTATCAGTCTTTCTAATAACAACATCAGGAGATATAATAAATACTGATGTGCAAATAGTTTTATAATTTCTGCCAAATATAAGAAATCTTAAACTACCTAAAAAGGTTCATAAATGTTTTTTTCCTGAATATCGAATAAGTTCAAAATTACCACTTACAAAAACTTTGGTAACTCTTCACACTTACCAGCTTCCCTTTTCTTAGATTTCACCTTTGGTTCAACATCCACAAGTAGTGTATCCAGAGGCAAGCTGTCCGGCAGAATGAAGTATCGAATGTTATTTCCACGAATACTCAGGGTTTCCAGCTGTACAGGCTCTCTGTTCTTCAGGGTCATCTTCACAGCTTTAAGATGCGTATTCATGCTGACATCAACACCTGACAAGGGGAAAACATAGCACGCTTTACTTCACTGCAAATAAAATGTTCTCTGCACTGGGCCACTTTGTTATGGTTCATGCCCACGCACATTGCTGCCATTCAGTTTCAAAAGCTCATTCGATCCCTCTAAGATTAGTTCCCTTGGACTCCCATCACAAGCTTCTTCATCACCTACTGAGTATAGCTTTCCACAGTTCCACTCTCATATTAAGCTGGTAACTTCTACCTCTGTCCAGTGCCTACTATTATCTGATACAAGAGGGCCTCAAAAAGCCCACAGAAAAAATTTGGGAACCCTCATATATAATAGTCTTGTAAAATAATTTAATCATTTCCTCTTGGATGAGCTAAGAAAATGAGATACTAATCTCTATTGGAGACAACTTTATAGAAAAGGATAAGCCCTGGTGGTGTACTGGTGTGTGCTGAGCTGCTAAACAATAAGGTCAGCAGTTCAAACCCACCAGCCACTCCATGGGAAAAAGGCTTTCTGCTCCCGTAAAGATGTATGGTCCCAGACACCACATGGGTCCTTGTTTCTGTCCTAGTCACTATGTCTCAATGGCAATGAATTTGGTTTTTTTGTTTTCATGCAAAAGGAAAGATTTTGCTGAGTTTCTAAAATAAATTAGGATCTGAGCACACAGGAAAGAAGCAATCTATACTATTATTTCCTTTCCACAAATTATAATCACACTTTCTAACTCAACATCTACTTCAGTGGTCTAGAGAGAGTAGATGAAGTTTCTTTATTGAATTTTGGCAGAAAAATAATCACATTTCCTCAGATATGGTCAAAGACTATTTCAAGACACTGTGCTGAACTGAATTCTTTTGATAGCAATTGCTAAATTTTAGGACGTAAATGCTGCCTAATAGGAACATATAACTAAAATAGTATCTTTCATTTAGCTTATTAATACTTTAAATATCTTGGAAAAGGAATATTATGGTCATCTTTCTACTTATTTCACATATATTTTCTCCAAGATAATCAAACAGCC